TGAGCTGGGTCTTGTTGTACCACACTTTGTCTCGAGTATCTACTTCCTGCATCTTCACCAGTATTGGTCTGGGACGTGTTTTATTGGTGAAGCTGCCAACCCGGTGACATCTACGCACATCTGAAGTAGTGATATTGTCCATTTTAAGCTTCTCCTGTATGACTCCAGTGGCCACTAGTGATGTGTTTTCTTTTGGGATTTCAGCAACTCCATGGATCAATAACATCTTTCTCCGGCCTCTCATCTCCTGCGCATCCATGTCCCGAGCAAAAAACTCCATCTGCCGCTGTAGACACTCAAGGGCATCAAACATGAACCGCTTAAAGGTCCAGTAGTCCTGTGCCAGACCCGAAGTGCCACCAGAGGCAAGTTTGGACGGTGTGCTGCTATGCCCGGCTTCGAATTTAGACATCCGCTCCCTGAACTCTGCCCTCATCTCAGCCAGGGTGCAATTGACCGCCTCCACTGCCTCCATGCTTATGATGCCGATGATGTTACGGTAGTATTATACGGGTAGGAAAGTGATGTAAACACACTATACCAGCAGGTAGTGCCTTTTAATCAGTACTTGTTGTGATAATTGTGATATATACTAAAAAAAAACCAAATAAAATGATTTTTTTTTGGGAGAGACGCTTTCCCTGTGTCTTTCTCTAAGAACACCTACCCGCGAAAAAAAGTAAGTAAGGTAGTAAGTATGCACTAGTGAAAAATGCTGGTGTTTATAGAGTAATGCTTGAGAAATTTATTCCATATATATTAATCAATAATGTGTGGTAGATACAGTGCCGCGCGTGTGGCCCATACATTACACGGTCAATGTCAAATGTCAGCGTCGTATAAAAGCATACTGTCAATAAAGTAGAATGTCCAAAACCAGTATTTTTTAAGGCCAAGATTTTGTGTTTATAATTTTAATCGTAATAAATCTCAAATTGTTTCCGAAGTTGTACTTGGAGCTGAGAATAAATGGAAATAAATACGATTCACATGTAAGTTTCAAAAAAAATATAAAAGTTAAACCGTGTTTGTTTAAACGCGTTAAACTCAAAAACTGGTTTTATACAATATTAAATCTATACAAATGTTATTAACCAAAAGTATTTATCTTATTTAGAATTGATAACTAAGCGATTTTGGCAGTTTATCTTCTACTATACCTTAGTGGAAAAAAAATTAGTCCTGCGTGGGATGTCCTACCTCGAAAAGAGACTTATTGATTGCATGAACGTGGAGATGAAGGTAAACTCTACCTATAGGTGTTCACCAATCGATCGACAGTCTATCAATGGCATCGGTCGACGTAGATCGATTAACCCCGGCTATATGCCATCAATTTCCTTCAAAATATATTCACTAGAGGACGCGTTGCTGTTGGCCTGGACGATGTTGCTCGTAATTATTACGGAGACGTCTAGTAGAAAGTATCGATGGACGTCGACTTATTTTTTCTTCCAGTGATTGATGGTATCTATCGACTATCGATTTATCGGTGTGGTAGTAACTATCGATCGACGTCGATTGAATGATTGTCGATTGGTATAGAACATCCTAAGTATACTACACTTACTTGTTCAACCACCAATAGACATATTTAGATTGATGATTGATAGTGATGAGACTGACTCTTCATTATCATCTTATTGTACATATACATCGGAGGTTATACGCCGGGGTCGTGCGGTCCATGGCCCTCTACGGCGCCCCTGTGTGGGCGCCGAACATGCTGCGGCGTCCCGCTCGGACGCTGCTCATATCACAGAGGGCCATGGCGATCTGAATGATCCGCGGATACCGCACGATCTCCGGGGAGTCGGCGAACCTCCTTGCCGGATTACCGCCGTGGGATCTGGAGGCGAAAGTGCTCGCGCGCGTGTATCACATGACGCAGGTCCTCACCGGACATGGAAGTTTCGGGAGGAACCTGTGTCTGATGGGGCGGGAGGAAACGCCCGGGTGTCATCATTGCGAGGACCGCCCTGAGGACACGGTGGAACACACTAGTGGAATGCCCTGCGTGGGCTGAGCACCGCTGTGCCCTCAGGGAAGTGATCGGCGATGGCAACCTCTCGCGTCCGGGCCTAGTGCGGGCCATGATGCGGAGCGAGGGGGACTGGGATGCCGTCTCCTCCTCCTTTTGCGAAGCAGTCATGCTAGCTAAGGAGGAGGCGGGACGCGTGAGGCAGCGAAGCGCTGCCTCCTCGCAACCCAGCCATCGCGAAGGACACACCGGGCGTCGGGGATCGCGGGACGATCTCCGGCCACCGTAAGCGCGGTACTGCGGACGGCGAGCATGGGTGGCTCCCCGTCCGACCAGAAACAGACCCGAGCGTACGGCGCGTCGCGTTCCGCGCGCGCCTCAATGAGCCATCAGACCACCACAGATGGGGCCCAATACGGCCGATGCCGATTCGGAGTCGCGGAAAACCTAACGGGTAACCGGGGCTCCGACTCGACGTGCAGGAGAAGGAACGGGGTGGTTTTTAGTCAGTTAGAGTCTGACACTCCCTCCCGCCTCACCCAGACGGGAGCAGGCATTCGATGACTTTCCCCCCTTAAAAAAAAAATTTACATATACAACCCAGGGCGAGTTACTAGTGTCTAAAAAAACGTACCTATATTGTATAAAATACCATTATTCATGCACATAATTATTTTGTAAAATGAACTTTAGTCGTTTGTTCACAATGTACTTAAATAGCTCATTAAACTGCTTTCAATGTATTTTTAGTTAGTTATTTACCTATAAAATCACGTTGGTACCTATTACTATGAAGGCATAACCGAAAAATGCCAAAATAAGATTTTCTTTTTGAGGGTGAAAATCATTTAATGACTCCCGCTTTGGGTGAGGCGGGAGGGAGTGTCACTCTTACTGACTAAAAACCCCCCCGTTCCTACTCCTGAAAGACTATTCAATTTTAAGTCACTTCTAATTCTGTTTAAAATGACAGACACCGCACGATATATAGGCCTTTAGGGTTCGGGCATCAATGCCGTATGACGTAGACCTTTAATGATTACTTACTTATCTATTCTACTATTCCTTTAACGAGTTTTCATTATTGCCAAGGATTGGGTAGCTATTAAATTACGTTGAGAATAGAAGATCCCCAAATGAATCCCCAAAAAGCCGGTAACGCACTTGTAACGCCTCTGGTGTTCCAGGTGTCATAGGCGACGCCGATTGCTTACCATCAGGTGGTCCGTCTGTGCGTTTACCGGCTTATGCCATAAAAAAAAGATAGTCACAATACCTGCATGGCAGTGGATGGCCACTCGTCCTTCCTGCAGAGCGAAGGAGAGGACTTTGGCCATATTCAGGAGACCGCTCAAACTCGCCTCCGCGTAATCCGGCCACGCGAAGTTGTAGTAGTATACTGAAATATATAGAGAATTGATTGGCTGTATAACTATCGGCTGTAAGTGCAACTGCGAAGCAAAGGGTCTTAGGTTAGGAAATGTCTAAAATAAAAAGAATACGGGTTCCAAAGGCCGGCTACGCGATCATAACTCGTCAGGTGTTGCACAAGTCCATGGTCGGCGCTGGTTGCTTACCATCAGGTGCTCCGTCTGGTCGTTTGCTCCCCAATCCCATAAAAACACCTGTGCCCCAATCCTAGAAGAAGAACTACAAAATCATGTACTTGTTAGGGATTGATTGTGTCTGTTGTCATACCCCAGCCAAGATTGTGGACAAAGTGATGTTATTGATAATTTGTAAAATTATTTTCTGTTTTTATTGAATTGGAAAACTCATAACTTCAATACTCTATCTTTGTATTTGGTAAATAATAGTGATAAGTAATCATCTAATCATACTGTTATGCCAACGATTTTTTTAAACACCCTAGGTGTTTCTCCTGTGTCGCGGGTGCGTTTACAAACATACAATTTCACATGCTAATGACACCCAGACCGGAAACAGTTGGCCAGCCATTGCGCCAACCGTGCAGTCATAACGACAACTTACTATCATTAGCCATGAAGATAGTGGGGTCGTATGTGAAGCCAGACTTGGTGAGAGGGGGTCCACAGCTTGCGTGCTCTCCTGGAGTCTGCAGATTGATCACCGTTCGAATACCCCAGCTGAAACAGGTAAATAATCATTGAAATAAGTACCCACATAAACAACGCAAATAAATGATGCTCTTTCCTATGTAAACTGGTTCGAGGATGCACAAAATTCCTACATAGTATAAAACAAAGTCGCTATTCGCCGTCTGTCTGTCCCTATGTCTGCTTAGATCTTTAAAACTACGCAACGGATTTTGATGCGGTTTTTTTTTAATAGATAGAAATGTATGTATTATACATGCATATTGCACCCGTGCGGGTGCGGCAAGCCGGGGCGGTCGCTAGTGCTCAATAAGCGTTACCAGGTTATTATAGTGTTATCTTCATTTAATATGTATAATATGTCTAACCATGGTGGGAGAGCTGAGTTTAATAAAGTCAAAGTCAAAGCATTTATTTCAATTAAACCATAGTTTGGTACTTTTGAAACGTCAACAAATACAAAATAAATAGTAGTCTGTCAGTCAGTCCGTTAGTGAAGCTAGGTGAAGCTAGGTTAATATTTATGCAAGGTCAATCGTAATGACTTTAAATAGTGAAACAGTTAAAAATAATAATAAACTTTACTGATACAATATTTTTGTACGTCCATTTTAAAAATAAGGCTGAACCATAAACTTTTTTATTTTCAAGGTCACGCACGAACTCATAGCTACGTTTTAGTTTATGAATTAAAACTGTCAGAGTCTATTTTAACTTCTAGACTAGACTAATAGGATGGTGTTACACGAAAGGCTAGGCAAACAAAGATTTTTAATGTATGTTTATATTATATCTTTCGTGAAACATACTAAAATTATTATTATTGTATTGTATTAAAATAAATGACTGCACGGTTGGCACGGTGGCTGGGCAACCGGCTGCTGCGCAATGTATCGCGGGTTCGATTCCCGCGCGGAACAACTCTTTGTGTGATCCACAGATTGTTGTTCCGGGTCTGGATGTCATGTGTATGTGAACTTGTATGTTTGTAAACGCACCCACGACACAGGAGAAAATCCCAGCGTGTGGCAACGTTTAAAAAAAAATGATTTTTCGACTCACTTACGTAATTATTTGACGGTGAATTCCACTTGTTTCAAGCCATGCTACTCTCAGTATTCAGTAGCAGCGCGACAGTCACCGCGTCCTAGGTCGTGGAATGCTACTCATGAATGTAAGCCTCTAGTATGGCTTGAAACTAGTCGAATTTCTCGTCAAATAATTACGTGAGTTAGCCGAAAAACATAGTAATTAATTTTAAATGTAATTGTGCCATACACTTACGATTATCTCCGTGAATAACCATTTTGACAACTTAACATTCAAGAGGTAGACAGAGCTGCATATGTATAAGACTAATAATGGCAGATTAATAACTAATAATTACTAATAATGGCAATAATGACAGAACACGGTGGAGAGAGAAATGTAGGAGCCGGCCACGGGCCATGTCATGTTCAGAAGGCTTGCTGCAAGCTTGAGAACACGAGACAGGCTTTTTTACCTGTTTCGCTTGATCTATTCCAACTTGATTAAACCATAAAAATCCAGTATATTCTAGTAAGTATTCTAACAAATCACTCTGGTCTTACCTGTGGAACTGTTGTATAATATTCCTGGCTGCGATGTTGGCGGTGCTGGGGCGTGCCATCGCCAGAATGTCGTCGGTAACCCTGTCGCAACATGTCACTTTATTAGACAAGTTATCCGCCAGACACGGTTATTGATGTCCCGAAGATAGCTTTCAGATATTTATGGGTTTTGATGCGAATTTCGTTTGAAATTGACTTTTGGTCGTAACTAGTAGGTAGCTATGTACCTAATTTGCATATCAAACTTCTGTTTGCTCATGGCTTAATGATAATATATTGTTTTACCGTAATCACTAGAATTAAAGGAAATCTAGGAATCCTAATAGCATTTCCCTACATTAGCCAAGACTTTCACTGAAATTTCGGTTGTCTTCGAACACAAGTTTGTGCGACTGCGTGACCTGGTCTGTGGGTCAATCATTTCATTTAGACTTGAAATAGATTCCAGTTTAGGTACGCCTTTAGGTATTGCTCGCTTTATATTATATAAGATACATAGATACATAAAATTAAAACTACCCTTAACCGACGAGCATGAAAACATGGATGACTGTTGATAAACCGAAAGACGTATGTAAGAATCGTAGCAATTGGCATTCCATCCACAAGCGTGAAGTTATATATGTGCAGCTAAGCTAAAGTGCTTTACTTAATTTTATGAATTTCATGAACATTTAAGCTTATTTAAACACTACTTTCACACCATAGCTTGCGGCCCCTTACCATAATTAAAAGCAATAGAAGTCGTTACAAATGGGTGCTATTAAATTTGTAACAGGCGCACTACAAAGGCTTTATATAATATATGAATACAATGTGTAAAAACTAACGGCATTACCACTGTTTAGCTGGTTAACATGAACATATTAATTAGCTAATCGAATGTATGTAGAACATTTTATAGTAAACATGATTGTTTTTATGTAATGTTGGCAATTACATAATAATCACTACATAGTATAAAACAAAGTCGCTATCCGCCGTCTGTTTGTCCCTATGTATGTTTAGATCTTTAAAAGTAGCGAAAGATGCGGTTTTTTTAAATACATAGGGTGATTCTTAAGGAAGGTTTATATGTATAATACATGCACATTGCACCCGTGTGATGCTGGGGCGGTTCGCTGGTAGATAATATAATATAGGTAATTTATAAAGACCTACTGAGGCTCGAGTCTACTATATATTTGTTTGTTATTCTTTTGTTTCGCTAAGTACCATTAACTTATAGTTAAATCAAAACACGATAAAATGTATTTGTTTATTATTACTTTTCAAACAACATGTCTGTCTACTCCTTCAGAAAAAAAAACATGCATCGTAACCATTTCATTGACAAGTTTTATACGTAATGTAATGAACACGCACGCATGGGTTTATTATAGTCATGTTTTGTTTTATCAGAAGCTTTTTTATGCTAAGTAATAAAAAAATGGCCACGGCTTCCTCGTAATTAATCGAAGTAAAATGTAGCCTGTATCACTTTTGGCGTAGTGCGCCGTGTATTATAGGGGCAGACTTTTAAATAAAACTCCGGTAGTGTCCGACCGAAATTTCGGTTTCGGTTTCGGCCGAGTTTCGGCCAAAAATCAAGTTTCGGCGGCAGTTTCGGTTTCGGCCAAAGTCGGCCGAAACTTTTGCCGAAACCGAAACTTATGTCGCAAGTTCACACACGTTCACGCTCGCATAACTCTGTTTCCCACGACACTGTACGATTGTCATTATTTGACAAATAAAATGTCTAGATATCGGTTGCTTTCAGGTAAAGGCTTTAAAACAAGCCTGGGTCATTTTTCCTCAATTAATAGAATGCAAGAACAATTTAGTCGCCTGTCATGCTCACTTAGTGTGGATATTGACATGTCCTATTCTCTTTTCAAAGTGAAAACTGTCCTGCGTAGGACATTCTCACAGAGTTAAACTGCACAATATGTACTACATATTCAAATCAAAATTGTACAATTTAAAAGTTGAGAAGAAGTAACAATTGTGATTGAAATTGATGTCTTTTTTGATAAGCGAACTTATTGTTTTTTTTTGTTGTTTATCCTGTTCTTTTATAATGCATGTCGTGGCAGCCTTTAATTAAGGCTACACTATAGAGTGTTAAAATATGTTAAAAAACCTATCATGTATTTTGGTGTATGCTTTGTTGGTTGTCCTTAAATAAATAAATAAATAAATAAATAAATAAAATATCACCGCCAACCTGTATAAAACTTTTTACTCAGGCCATACAAGAAAAAAAAAACTTTTTAACTTAGTCGTATAATTACTAATTGACAATTAGATATTATCTATAAAGGCATTAAAGGGAATCTCTGAAAATGCAATAAGTTGTGGGAAATTACATAAGTATTCAGTACAGAGAATAGAGGTATAATAAAATACCAATACTTAGTATTTAATGAAACAGTAACAATTACTGATTTGATTAGTGTTAACAGATAAACATTATGCTATGAGAACTTAATTTGAAAAAATAATAAAAATGTTATTAATATTTTTTTAATTATTATATTAAATAAATGATTACAACAAACTTAATACACTGTGTTTCCATTTCATGCCCAAGTTAATGCAAAATAATAGGTAAAATGCACCAAATTTCAGTATCTTAAGAAATTTTATACTTGACTACCTAAGTTTCGGTTTCGGTTTCGGCTTCGACCGAAACTGAAACCACGGCCGAACATTCGGTTTCGGTTTCGGTTTCGGCCGGAAAATCAGTTTCGGTCGGACACTAAAAACTCGTGTTATATTCAATGGCAAAACTTATAATCGACTTGTCCATCAAAAGTGTAACGGTATAATGTCACACAGAGTTAATCCTATACCATAGACGGTCAATGGCAACCATAGACAATATCAATATTCTCGTCATAATACTAAAAGTGGGTCCCATACATTACTATGCATGCATATTTACTGATAGTGGGACGCCACACACTCTTTAGCCTATATATAAATAGCCCAGACTAGAATATGCGTAAAAGGTACAGACAGACAGTGTCTACCAGTGGTGTAAATTACAGGGTGGCAAGTGAGCAAAATGCTACGGGAAGGAAGGGGCCCCGTTCAGAGGTTTACATTTGAACTTCTCTGTTATTTATTGAAATGGGATGGGCCCCCCATCCGATAAATTTGCCACGGGCACTGGAGGTTTTTTTTTTTAAGGGGGAAAATCATCAAATGACTGCTCCCGCCTGGGTGAGGCGGGAGGGAGAGTCAGACTCTTACTGACTAAAAACCACCCCGTTCCTTCTCCTGCACGTCGAGCCGTCGTCTCTGAACGGTATGGTTACACCACTGCCTAAAGGTATATGCGTATTTTGTGGTTGTGGTTGTGTATCCTGTGCGTAATTTGTGGTTGTGTATCCTGTGCGTATTTTGTGGTTGTGTATTCCATTTAAATATGGTCCGCTTAGTAGTTGTTTGCGAAAAACATACATTATTATTATTACAACTGCAAAGTTTTCTCCGCACATTGAAAAAATAAAGGTTTTCACTACAAATGCACTTATGACATTGAACAAATAAAATTAAAATAATTTAGAAATCACACGCGATAATTTACATTTCATAAGTCGGTAAGTACCTAGGTAGCTAGTATTGTTTTGTTAATAATAAAATGTTATATGTAGAACCTACTAAAGTTATAATTATGACTGCAGTATATTGTACGGTGTAACACGAATTTAGGCTTTCAATGTCGTACTAAGTTTGTGCTTATAATCTTATCTTTGGTCGTTCTTAGTTGTAAAATTAAACAAACCATAAACATACTTCAAGAATAAATGGGTGTGATATTAATTAAACCACTTTCATCATGTCGCGGAGAACCTAACGGGTTACCGGGGTTACGGCTCGACGTGCAGGAGAAGGAACGGGGTGGTTTTTAGTCAGTAAGAGTCTGACACTCCCTCCCGCCTCACCCAGGTGGGAGAAGGCATTCGATGATTTTCCCTTAAAAAAAAACCACTTTCATCATGAAATATTTTTACTAAAGAGTGTGAAGAGACAAATAAATACAGATACAGATAAAATAAACAAATACAGACAAATAAATATTTCTCAAAGGAAAGAAATATTGTGGATTATTGATTGTATCTAATTGCCGAACGTTTATGATTGTCTGCAACTCTGCATGCTAAAAAATCGTACACATCAACTATTAGGTACAGTCCAAGTTATTGTGTAAACGTATCTCATGTGTGTTTTCCTTCACAATTTAAAGTAATATAAGTTGAGTGAAAGCATACGTGGGTCGATCTCCAGAGGCATTTTTTTTCGTGTCGGGCTGGATAAACCAAATTTTTTAAACTTAAATATTTCCATAACTGTTTGTGTAAATTGAAGGCCAATAGTAAAAAAATACTATTTGAACATCATACTTTTTAATGATATGCATAATTACCATTAAATATCAATATCTGAAAAGCACCAGAGCGATCACACGAATACGCCCGTTTTGGAGATTGACCCACGTACCTACCTATAATGTATTATTACTGCAATTATTACAAAATATTAACATAAAACACACAGAAAACGGAAGTCACGCGACCGACATATTTTATTGTGTTCTTTATTTCATTTTTAAAAGCCAAGGATATGTGTACACCGTAATATTTAAAGTAATTTAAAGTAATATACAAGTATAGGATAATTTGTTGAAGAATTATCATTAATCAAGCGGTATGTACGTAAATTACTTTCTATTAACGCGTGACTGAGTGATAGATAACGCGTAGGTAGATGACCAATGTGGGAGAGCCATACTTCAGCACAAATGGGCCGGCTCGACTGGAGTGATACCACGGTCGAACAGAAAACCGACGTGGAACAACAGTTGCGTTGTGTTTCGTCGTGTGAGTGAGGTTACCCGAGGCCCAAATACCTGCCTTTACCCTACCGAATCACCCCAATCCCTGAATCCATTGGGGATTCTTTTTTGGTTGATTGGGAATCCTCAAATTCCTAACACACTTGTAACGCCTCTAGTGTTGTGGGTGTCCATGGGCGACGCCGATTGCTTAACATCTAGTGAGTCCGCTCATTTATTCAATAAAAAAAAAGCACAGCCGAAACTACTGCTGGTAGAAAGTTGTGCTCGATGTAGCTTCTTTTGTAAGTACCTATGTAAAGACCACATAAGCGAATCCTAAACGCCCAACCAGTGACCTCAGGTTAGATGGTGGCACAATAAGGGCTCCGGAGTTATCCTAAGCTTGGTACCCCTTACAGGTACTGATTGTAGCCACTGCTGTCATCTTTCTCCCTAAAAACTAGAGTCACCTTTTAAGTATTTCTCTCGAAAACAAAAAGCGCGAGTTGATGTTAAGAGACAGTTTTACGAAATTCTTATGGAAAGGACACCGTATTCAATGGTCGTTGACGAAATATTCGCCATAAACTATAACCTCGCATATCATTTAACTTCGACATTTTTCGATCTTGAATAAAACTGCTAGACAAACTTAAAGCTCGCGCGCGCTTCAAAGAGTCATCAGACCACCACGGACGGGTCCCAACAGGGTTGATGCCGATTCGGAGTCGCGGAGAACCTAACAGATTACCGGGGCTCCGGCTCCCTCCCGCCTAACCTAAGCGGGAGCAGTCATTCAATGATTTTCCCCGCTTAAAAAAAAGACCAACTTAGAGTTATACTATGAGGCTAAACATAGAAGATAGAAACACTTTTATGTTTAATTATAACTTACTCTGTGAGCCTACAAATAAAACTAAAGTCACTGTAAATACAGCTTAAGTACATAAAACACTGTCATAGTAAAACATTTCTTACAACTAAAAAAAATAAAGGCTGTATTCGTATAAGAAGAGTGTATGACGTCGTCGCAGTGTTAAATAAACGAGCGACGCAGGTAATATATTTAGGTTAATGTAATATGTTCACAGTAGGGGAAAGTGTTCGCAGTTCTTAGTTTTTTTTTATACGGATGATGTTATCTACAAGGTGTAACTCGAAGGGAAGCTTCTGTGGCTACACATGTCACCTGTCAACGGATGACGTCACGAAAATCCTACATCGCACATGTGAAGTTTACATGCGAATTAACTTTTGGCCCACGAAACAGAATAGGCCGGTAAACGACCAGACGGATCACCTGATGGTAAGTATTTGCGTCGCCCATAGATACCCGGAATACAAATGGCGTTACAAGTGCGTTACCGGCCTTTTTGGAATCAGGAATTTGAGGATTATTGGTGATTGAGGGATTGGGGAAGGGGGGACCGGGGTAATTGAGCCTCCTGTAACCTCACTGCCACGACGAAACAGCGCAAGCGTTGTTTCACGTCGGTTCTCTGTGAGGTCGTGGTATTATTCCGGTCGAGCCGGCCCCGAGCCCATTCGTGCCGAAGCATAGCAAAAGTTAATTAAACAATAAAACCTACTTACCAATCAGAATACAGTCCTTGTATCGCAGTCCCTGGTTGCGGTACTTCGTACCTACATCGTGGACCGCCGCAGAACAGCGCGCATTGTATCGCTCGTGGCGTACCCACGCGCAGCTTCTCGCCAACCACGCTGTATAACGCAGAGGGGGGGTGATTGATACGACGGCGGGATTCACGACTCCTGGAATAGGGAGAATGGAAAATGAGAGCAAATCTATCATTTAACATTCGGTTTTTCTACAGATATGTTTCATGTCCCTTTGGACAGGGGTGGTTTTTGGCTTACACTAGACATAAATCCAGACTTGTGGGTGATCTTTTTATGTCTCCGACTGCTCAGTCGTCAAGCCCAGTAGAAAATTAATGTAAAATGGTGATTGAATTTGAAAAGTGAACTCGTGTTTTACTAGTTGAATAATGTTATTATTTCTTATGTCATAGAAGGTGTACCTATTACAAAATAACAATTTATTCTCATTTGTAATTCACCACAACAATGACACAGGCAATCTGTCAATTTTCAATCCGCTACGCATCTGCTACGGTACGGCTACGAACTGCTACGAAATGGCTACGAATGTGGCCCTTGTAGCACATTACCTCTATATGTCGTTGTCGTCGTTAAGTGTGCAGTCTTTCGGATTACTTTTTACAAAAAAAAAAATAATAATTTACATTAAAAACCTCCTTTTTGCTTCCAATTTCCACAAAGAAATGAGGAACTATTATTAGAATTTATGTTTAACTTACATACAATCAGCGAAGCATTAGCACTTGCAACCCATTACAAAATTATTGTAAGTATGAATAGACACATTTTTTTCAACCACAATACAAAAAAGAACAGCATGTCTTTTCTTAAACATTATTTTTATAATATTTTCACGCCCAAATATTAGTAAAGAAAACAATATTTACACAAGCATTCGAATTTTAAAACCAACAGATTATCATTTCACGTCTTAAAAAAAACAAAATGTTTTTCTGTGTTCGGTCATCAAGTACTGGCTGGTTACAATAAAAAGAGGTTGTATATAAAATTAAATGATATAAAATACTTTTTGTTACCTGTCTAGAAAATGAAATCTTCTGAAATTTACGAAATTGATGCTCGATTTTCTTCGTTCTTTTTGGTATGGTTTATACATATTTGTGAAGTTGTTAGTTGAAGGACGGTTCGGTGAGCACTGGTAGGCATTGCTATAACTACAATAGTCACCCTTAGCATTATAAAAATAAACAAACCGCCCGCTGGACAATTGGGAGGGTTGGCATGTCAAATAGATTTAAATTTTTTATTATTTTTTCTTCCTTGTCCTGTTCGGCACGGTTGGCGCAGTGGCTGGGGGATCAGCTAACAACGGGCTTTTTTTAAGGGGGGAAAATCATCGTATGACTGCTTCCGCCTGGGTGAGGCGGGGCCAGACTCTTACTGACTAAAAACCTCCTCGTTCCTTCTCCTGCACGTCGAGCCGGAGCCACGGCAACCCGTTAGGGGCTACGGTTTCGATTCCCGAACGAATAATTACTTGTATGATCCAAAAATTGTTGTTCCAGTCCGGAGTGTGATTTATATGTGAAATTATGTGTTTTAAAACGTATCCACGATGCAGAAGACAATCAGACAATGCTAGTACATGCCAATGTGTCACCCACAACACCACATGTGTAAGTAAGTGAATTGTCACACGATTGATTGCACGGTTGGCGCGGTGGCTGGGCAACCGGCTGATACGCAACGCACAGCAGGTTCGATTCCCACACGGAACAACTCTTTGTGTGATCCACAAATTGTAGTTTTGGGTCTGGGTGTCATGTGTATGTGCACTTGTATGTTTGTAAAGGCACCCACGACACAGGAGAAAAATCAACTGAGGGGCAATGTTTTCTTTTCTTCCTAACGCACTTTAAAAAACCTGTCCACAATTTGTGACGTCATCATAATCAACCAATCAACAATTAAAATCTAATAAATCAAATGCGTGCGTGCGTGTGTGTGCATTGACATTTAGAAACGTCACTGGCAAGCACGCACCTCTTTATGAAATATTCTGCCTATAAATGTGATTGAAATAGAATTATATTTCGATTATATTGTAGCCTGACGTTCTGACCGTACTTTGAAGGTCGCCCATTAATGATAATGGATGAGGAGGTACTATGACATTCTAATGACAACTATGTACCTTCTATTCCTATATACTTAATCAATCGTGGTAGTTACTAAGTGTTATTTTTATTATTGAGCTTTATGTAACTGAAACACTGAAAAAATACTGTGTTCACTTATTAACTCGTCGAGTACCGGTTTTGTAGACACAATTATAGAACAATAGGTTGCGGTCACCGGTGACCGCTTGGTGTTTGACAGTTTAAGTAATCGTATAAAATTCTAATGTTTGTAGGTGTATGTTTTTATAATACTTGATACATAGAGAACGGCCGGATCACTTTTAAATTTAATCATGTTCTTTTTTTAATTATTACTACATAGTATAAAACAAAGTCGCTATCCGCCGTCTGTCTATCCCTATGTAGGTATGCTTGCTTGCAAACTACGCAACGGATTTTGATGCGATGTTTTTTAATAGATTGAGTGATTCTTAAGGAAGGTTTATATGTATAATACATGCATATTGCATCCGTGGGAAGTCTGGGCGGGTCGCTAGTAAAGAATAACTTATCTTTTCTTTCAACGCTAAAACAATATCTTACAAAAAACCTAAAGTACTACTACTATACCTACCTATTATTATTATTATAGCAAAAGTTTCCATGAACACGGAATAGGAATCGTAAATGGACTACATGTACCTATGTACACCCGGCCACACATCAATCTATACAAAACCAGTTTATCCTGGTGTCGCGTCGCATCATCTTTCCGCACATTCAACGTTCAGTTTATACTGGTTATGTAAAGCTCGATGTGTATGTACAATCAATGGACTACTCTCACGTAATGTCAGTTTGATTGGTATAATTGTGTGTGCAAAGTTTATCAATTTAGGTAGTTGGTAATGGATGAAAGCCCGAATGCTTGTAATTAATGCTTGCCGTTTTTGATAAAAACCGAAAAATATTAACTACATTTTTTAATTATTAAAGAGGTTAGAAAAATGTAACAAATAAGTTACAATTTAAACATATCAAAATTGAAACACCATTATCAATATATTTTAGTAACAACTAACAGTTAACACAGTTTAAGGGCCCCAATAAACTATAGTTCAGCCCCAGAAACTCGCAGTACGGCCCTGTCCTAAATCACCTACACTCAACTAAGAACAAAATTAGAACATGTTTATTACAAAACTAAGTTCCAGTGACTGTTTAAAGGTTATAATAGTTGTAACCTATTTTATACAAGTGCCCTGGCCTCGAGGCTGGTCGGAAGTCCCCATAAAAACAATAGTAACCCATATTTGGGGGTGCGTGCCCCGAGAAATATAGGTAGTTTGGAAGTATCACGCTATGGTGTGTCACGCGACTTCGTGCACTCATTACAAGTGTTGAGAGAAGGTTATTATATTAATTCATCCTTATCCTTACTAGTAATATTATAAATCGGAAAGTGAGTTTGTTTGTTTGTTTGTTCCGCTTTCACGCCGTAACTACTAAACCGATTGCTTAGAATTTTTGCAGACGTAAAGTTATATAGCTGTCTGAATTAAATAATAGGGTACTTTTTATACCGGAAAAATTTGATATTCTAGAGGGAAAACGAAATTATTGGTATAGATGGCGCTGTGTGTATTGGTATATGTCACAAAGGCTACTTTTTATCCTTTTGTGACGCGAGCGAAGCCGCGGGTAAAAGCTAGTGTGTAATAATTAATAGTAGAGAATCGACTTGCAACGTATTTTTTATACCGTATGTAGAAAACTCTTATACATTTATTTATGCAACATACTTGTTATCGTCTATACTGACAATGTACAAAAAATTAGCAAAATCGGCCCAGTAGTTAAGCCAAAAAGTGCATTTTTCTCTTTGAGAAAACGTAAACACTCTTTAAGTTCATTGACGCAGGTCAATGCACTCCAATGCGCGACATTGCCACTTTTCATGTTTCGGTTTTCAAAATGAGAAAAGAATTGATATAATCCTAACCAGACCCAAAATAATATGATAAGTATGTCACTGCACCGTCCACTAATCCACATTTTAAAAGAAATAATCGCGATGAATCTTTAATTTACACTGTAAGTACGCACATTAAGCTATGCTAAACCAGTATAAACTGATCGTTGAATATGAAGAAAGATCATACAAAACGAGACCAAGATAAAATGGTTGACGTTCTTGTAGGTACTCGCCGTCTGTTAAACTATTTATTTGCCATATTCAATGAAGATGTCGATTCACGAGTTTGATTGAAAAAAAAACACTACAATTCCATTCGGCTCTTGATTTGAAAACTAGAAAACACGTTTCATAAACTTTTTGTGTACCTACACAAACTTCTAGCCGCTTACAACTAGTTACAATACCTTTTATTATGAAAAGAACGAATAAAATTACCTTTTTCAGTTACGCCTAATCCGGGCTAACACACGTTTAGTTTACGCCTTAAAAAAATATTTAAACGACAACACGGATATCTCTCACTTGTTTAATTCATTTAAACACACATCACTGATCTTACTGTTGCAATTTTCCATAATTCATTTAAAGTTACAATTACAATTTATTTACTTGCACTCAGAAAACCAATCAAAACAAAATTCCGCGTAAAGCTCAAGTAGGTATAAATTGTTTTGTTTGCAATGAAGTAGTAGTTCCTACACGAACCACGCTTACACAATGGTTGGGCGGCGCTGGTGGCAGTGAAACCAACAGTGAAATTGTGCAAATATCGATTTCACAAAGAGTGTTTGGCATTTTGTAGTAGTTCGGCAATTTCTCCATAGATGGCACTATTACAATTTCTTCAAATTATGAATCAAAATTTATTAAAATTACGAATTTATTAAGGAGTCTGACATTTGTATCGAATTAATGAGTGAAATTACGTATTTATTTACCTTTCTAAGTCGATTACCACATTTAAGAATCTCTTTCTGCCAATATCGTCTAGTTGACACGGAAATTGTACAAATATCGATATCACAAAGAATGTTGTAGTAGTTCGGATTTTTTTCCATAGAT